CTGTCCAGGTCTGCTTGCAGCTGTTCCCTGCCCTCCGGTGTGTCCACTTCTCCCCATAGCTTTGTGTCATCCGCAAACTTGGACAGAGTACATTTCACTCCCTTGTCCAAGTCGCTGATGAAGACATTAAAGAGTATCGGTCCAAGGACCGAGCCCTGCAAGACCCCACTGCCCACACCCTTCCAGGTCAAAACCGACCCATCCACCACGAGGGTGGATGCAAAGTCCTGCACTTAGGATGGAACAACCCCATGCACCAGTACAGGCTGGGGGCTGAGTGGCTAGGGAGCAGCTCTGCAGAAAAGGACTTGCAGGTTACAGTAAGTTGAATATAAATTAACAGTGTGGCCTTGTTGCCAAGAAGGCTAACAGCATCCTTGCTGCATTGGTAGGAGTGTTGCCAGCAGATCAAGGAAGTGATCATTTCCCTCTATTCAGCACTGATGAGGCCACATCCGGAGTACTGTGTCCAGAACGAATGTGGACAAACTGGAGAAGGTCTAGCTGAGGGCATTGAAAATGGTTAGGGGCCTGGGGCACATGACTTCTGAGGAGAGGCAGAGGGAACTGGGCTTATTTAGTTTGCAGAACAGAAGACTGAGGTAGGATTTGATAGCAGCCTTCAACTACTTGAAAGTTGGTTCCAGAGAGGATGGAGCTAGACTGTTCTTAGTGGTGGCAGATGACAGAACAAAGAGCAATAGTCTCAAGTTGTAGCAAGGGAAGTTTAGGTTAGATATTGGGAAAGACTTTCTCACTAGGAGAGTAGTAAAGCACTGGAATATGTTACCCAGAGATGCTGTGGACCTTGGAGGTTTTTAAGACCCAGGCAGACAAAGCCTTGGCTGGAATGATCTAGTTGGGGGGGCTAGTCCTGCTTTGAGCAGGGGGTTGGACTAGATGACTAAATGGCCTCCTGAGGTCCCTCCCAACCCTAATTTTCTATGATTCTGTTAGCAATCAGGCAACATTAGCAAAAGCAGCTACATCAGCAGAGAATACAATGACATCCTCACTACCAGGTGGTGAGGTCTCAGGGCCCTCTGAATCCACCTCATGGTTTGAGACAAGTTCCAGACTTTCACTCCTCTGCCTTGGTGTGAGAGAGTTTGATACTGTTCAAGTTCAAATGTCTGTATTTCCATCCATATCCCTGAGAGAACGATCTTGGCCATCTAAGTATGGAGCAGGGAAATGTAATCATGGCCTGTGATCCTTGTTCTTTCCCAGGGTCGCCTTAATAGCATGGGGTGTGATCCTCAACTCCTTCTGGGATCAGAGGATCTGGGAGGAGAAAAGTAGTGACACACCCAGTACAGCCAAAAGGTGTGAGGGGTGTTCAAGACTCCCCAGCAATCAGATGGGGCTTGAATTCTTCCACTCCCTGCAGTAAGACTATTTTGAACTGGACTTCTTTTCACAGGGTGCCCAAGTACCAAGGCCTGGTCATGCTCAGATGCATCCCAGAGTAGAGGGGAGTGGCAGGGCTTTCCCTTTGCCAGTGGCACAGGGACTAAACTCTGGGTTCCCTCCTCCACCCAACAGGTGCCTGGATGCCCTCAGAAGACTGCTGTTCATCGCTGCTTGAAGAGCCCATGGGTCTGGAGCTGCTTCCAGCCAGATGCCAGCTCCCTGCACTACAGGAACAGAAACCCACCGAGCCTCAAAAGAGCCCTACGTGCACAGAAAAATTCAAGGTGCAAGGAGAAGCGAGGAGCCACAAGGCCAGGGATCACAGTGGGAAGGTGTGGTGTATATATATAGGATATACATGCTGTATACATGCGGGGAGTGCAGGGAAAGCTTCTGGGGCCAAGAGGTGCTCCAGGCACATAAGGGAACCCACAGAAAGGAGGCAGCCCACCCCTGCTCTGACTGCAGCAAGAGCTTCCAGTATAAATCCTGCCTCCTCACCCACCAGAAGACGCACTCTGGGGAGCGCCCCTACCCCTGCCTGGTGTGTGGGAAGAGCTTCCGAGATAAATCCTATCTCCTCATCCATCAGCGAACACACTCTGGGGAGCGCCCCTACCCCTGCCATGACTGCACCAAGAGCTTTGCCCGCCCATCCCAGCTCTGCGTCCACCAGCGCCTCCACACTGGGGAGGAGCCATACCGTTGTCCTCACTGTAAAAAGACTTTCAGGCACAGCTCAGCTCTCAGTCAGCACCAGCGCATCCATAGTGGGGAGAAGCCACATCACTGTGCCCAGTGTGGAAAGAGCTTCCGGCACCGCCATGCTCTCACTCAGCACCAACATGTGCATTCTGGGGAGAAGCCACACCACTGCCCGGACTGTGAGAAGAGCTTCCAATATCCCTCCAAGCTCTGCGTCCACCGGCGCCTTCACACAGGGGAGCAGCCATACCAGTGCACTGAGTGTGAGAAGCGCTTCAACAGCATCTCTGACCTCCATGTTCATGAACGCGTGCACACAGGAGAGAAGCCTCACCATTGCCCGGACTGTGGGAAGAGCTTTTCCCGTTTGTCCCACCTCAGAGGGCACCAGAGCATTCACACAGGGGAGAAACCACATGGTTGTGTTGATTGTGCAAAGAGCTTCGATAGCCTGTCCAAGCTCCGAGCCCACCAGCGCATGCACACTGGGGAGAAGCTGTACTGTTGTCTGGAGTGTGGGAAGTCCTTCAGGTCTAGCTCTAATCTTGCTCATCACCAGCGAATCCACAGACGAAATCCTCACACCTGACACTAGTCAGTTCCTGCCAGTTCTCCCATCACCCTCTGCTCCACACAGGGTCTGGAGTGCCCTTGCCTCCCTATTCAGAGAAATGGAGAAGTAGGGCTGGAAGGAACTTCTACAGGTTACATCTAGTCCAACCCCCTGCCTGAGGCAGGATTATCCCTATCCAAACCATCCCATAAATACCATAATGTAAACTCTACATAAGACAGCTGTCGACCCTGACACAACACAAGACATGACACCTGAACCTGCCGCAGATAAAGCAGGGGAACCACAGGAGCCAAGGTCCTGCTTCTATGACGTGCTGTCAGTATATGCTCTAGAGATCTCAGGTAGAGGTTGCACCCCCGCTACTGAGAAAGGCAGCCTGCCTGCCCACAGTCTGTAGCAGTCTGCCATGGGATAAAATTATTTCTTGACCCCAACTAGCATCAGTCTGACCATGAGCAGAGGGGTTAGACCCTCTAGCAAGGAACCTCCAGCTTTGGTCCAGGTAGGAGCATTGGCACACCCAAGACAAAATTCCTAGTCTTAACTATAGCCAACACCCAGTGCCTCTGAAGGAACTTTAAAAATATCCTGTCACGTGTAACAGATGGAGGTTGGGGGGTAAAGCCTGAGAAATCCCCATGGTAGATCATTCCAGACCAGTAGCTGTCCAGCCTCTTCTTGAACACTGCCAGTGATAGAAAGTCTACAACTTCTGTAGGCATCTATTCTACTGCCTTGTTCTAAAAGTGAAGAATTTTTTCCTGATACCTAAAGAAGCTCTTCCTGATATCCTGGTGTTCTTGATATTCACTATGCCCTTGGTTTGAATGGCCCTGGAGATGGGAAGCAAGGGAGTCATAGGGGAGAAGAGACTTGGGGTGCTGTACTGGGGAGTGCAATCCATGGAGGGAGCCATGAGTAATGAGGAGAAGGGGCTCAGCAGCAACAGCCTAACCATTCTGAAGGGTAGTGAGGGCAGTGAGTCAGGATTTGTCACTCTAGTGGCACATGGACAGCTGCCCTGAGAACCCCCAACAAGTTCCCAGTGCAAACCAGCCTGTTCACAGGGAGATGCTGACATTAGCCAGGCACTGAGCTCTCTTGAACTCACTGAGGGAGCTACATGAGCTTGAGCCCTTCATACTTAAATAGAGATGCCAGAGCCATCAGCACCTGAACCATGACATGCCCCACCCCAGGAGGCAGTGACAGTAACATGAGACCCCCTGAGCATCCAGCTCCTGAACCCCAATAGAGAAATGTCTCTTCCCCC